GGCCAGATCAGGTGTGAGCTTGGCCAGCCAATTAAAGGTTAAAGGTTAAAGGTTAAAGGTACTCCAGAAGGCTTCTGACAGGTCATAGTGGAGTTTGTCTGACTCGTATGAATTACTCAACCTTTCATGACAATGTTTGCAGTACTCTGAACACTATAATTTCTTTACTTATGATTTCTTTTTTCCTGAAGTTTTTTTTTTAAAACCAAAATTAAATTATAGCTTTAATACAGAAATAGATCAGTGCACGTTTGTGATGGGTTGAATATGGGATCAATGCTCCTGCTTCAGTGTCCCCATGTGTTGATGGATATGACTGTCTTTTGCTCCAGAATCCCCCTTGAAGGCCCCACAAAAGCTGCCTGAGAGACTGACCCCAGAGAAATCTGCTGGGGCAGCCACTGTCAGCAAGGCCCTGTCCTCCTCGGATACAGGTGTGTTTGGGAGAGGGGTGTGAAACCCGTCTGCATCGGTATCGATTGTGGACACTGTGTTGGGTGTCTGCATTTAGGAGGGTGTTTCATAAGGCTGAGCAGACGATAGCTGAAGCGGCTGAGGGTTTTACACTGTTGATCTCACCTTTGGACTCTTGAGCAAGACACTTAACAGCAACTGCTCCAAAAAAGCACAATACTAAATATGTAAATGGGAGATAATATAATATAATAATAATAATAATAATAATTAATAATAATTCACCATAAAAATTCATAATAATAAAAATTCACTATAACCGAAAAGCTGGATGCCATGTCCGTCCATCAGAGCTCATGATGCTGAACGGGACGGACCCTGTGGCTGAGGCAGCCATCCGGCAGCTCCACAAGTCGGCCAAGCAAAAGCTGAAGTCTCCAGTCAAAAAAAGCACCATCATCATTTCGGGAGTGGCAAAGGTATCCCATCGGGGTTTTTTGTTTGTGTCGGATCTGTAAGTCACGTGAGACGGAGCACAGCTCTATTCCCCCATCCTTCCCCCCACACGCGCACACTCTTTTTGTTTTGCATCTCCCCCCCCCCCCATAGACCCCTCTATCTCAGGATGACGAGATGACACTGATGGCAGGCTATGCAGCCGCGATGGATGCATCCATGACAGAGACCCCGCTCAGCGCGTCCACATCGGTGGCCTCTGTGCAGGACTCCACCGTGCGGGATTCCACTGCACGAAAGCCGTCTGACCCTAGGGAGGGTCCCAGTGGCATAGAGCCCTCAGCAGACTGGGACGACCAGCCTGTCCCAGACCCTGATACAGATAAGAAGTCCGCTCTGTCCCTCTGCATATCCGAGACAGATTCCAAAAAGAGAAAAGGTAAGCTGGTGCTTCAGAGACGTTGGAAACAACCCCAAAGCCATTTCTTCTAACAGCTGTAGGAGGCTACTTCTGTTATTGGTGTAGGATTTTTACACATGGTCCATGGGAAAAATGAGCTGTAATGGTTTCTGTGGTCCAAATTAGTGCAAACGTGTTCATGCTCATAGAAATCCTACGGAAACCACTCCAAGGAATGGCTGCAACCCCCATCCCCAACTTGACCTCGCAGTTTTCAAGTGCTGAAGGGCTTAATAGTCTAATATTTTAAGACCAAGTACTTATTAGGCCTTAAGTACTAGTGGCTCTTGAGCTTGTCCTATGTGAGAATGTTTCCTGTGCAAAGCCATTGAGTGACATCAAAGTACAAGTACAGGTCATATTCTAGTTTGTAGAAGTGAAGAGCAGTAAATGTACCACACATAACCCTACTTTCTGGCTGTTCTCATATTTTAATGTATTGGGTTGAGGTCTTTTTCATTTGTCTTATTTTTTATGATTATTCTTCATTCCATTTCTCCCCATTTACTTTTTCCTATTTTGCCATCTTAAGAGGAAACCAGTGCTAACCAGAAATTATTACCTGCAGAGTAAGTTACCTGTTGAACAGCCTCTGATATCCAGTAGTGTTTAGTATTGTATGCCCTCAGCCATTAGGCTCTGCTTAGCTTCAGGTAATCGCTTGCATCTCTTGTTGGTATTCTGTAATGTGTCCTTAATGGCCAACATCTTTCAGAATGCATGTTTTAGATTTCTGGATATGCTTGTATACACAATGCTAAATTTCAACAGAGCCGTGGTATTAAATTGAGGGGAGGAAAAGCTCTTGGTGGCTGCAGTGGCTGAAAGCCTTTAAATTGCCCGCTTTGATGTTCAAACCCCCAAATGGCATATGGTTTTCAAGCAGCGTTTCTTCATCAGTCCATATGTTTTTCATCCATCTTAAAACTTTGTCACTGCTTTATATTACAAACCATGCCAATTTGTCTTGACCACATGTTTGATCCGATAGTCAGTGACCGACACAGATCCCTTCCTCTGGGATGATTGAAAAGTGTTTTTATATATATATATATATTTATTTATTTATTTATTCATTCTTTTAAGGGTAACTTTGACTGAATGTACCAAAAAGCTTTAATTCACTGCCATAGTCCCCTGTAATCTGTAGCTAATGCAGAGTTTGAATTTGTATGTCTGACATCCCCTCTCTCCAACATCCTGTACACCTCAGGCAGCTTCTTGCACAAGAGTGCCAAGCTCTTCTTTCGGCGCCGGCACCAGCGCAAGGATCCGGGGATGAGCCAGTCTCACAACGACCTGGTGTACCTGGACCCACCCGGCCCGACAGACAAGGAGCGCCGGACGGCCACCTTCAGCCGCCTAGTCAACAGGAAGCAGCTGCCAAAGAACAAGACGGCAGCTAATGGGTCGGCGGGGGAGCCGCACGAGTGACTGCATCGCCCCCTAGAGGAGGGGCCCTGGAGCACGGCCAGAGTGTTTCCTCATTGTGCACTGTGACTGGAAACACATTCTTGTTCCATTGAAACGTCTCAAGGAAATGATGTTCCGTGCTAATCTGAGCAGATTCCTGATGATGGATTACAGACAATTACACCACCTTATGAATGAACGATTGCAGTAGATGTACTGTTTTGATTTACTAAATCCTGTTGTATGTACTGGCCATGTCGTACCTCTTCTTGGTCATTAACCCCATTAATTCAGATTTGAAGCTGTGGGTTGAGAAGAGGGCGGCAGTATTGGCACAATTTGCACATTTGATGGGATCATGCTCTTCTCAGCTTTATAAAAGCCTGCTTTAAATGCAGTTGAGTGCAATGTGTGCTCCAGTAGACGTTTGTCTCCTGTCTACAGGCTATACAGCATATTGTCCCACTGAAATGCTGTTTCCCAGTCGCAAAAAGCTGAGTGGTAATTTTGAAAAGCCATTCCCTCCTCAGTTACTGTCTAGTTTGATTGCTTGGTTCAGCCTAACTCTCCCTACTGTGAAAATTGCTTTCCAGTGTGACAGCTAGATTACATGCATAAATCCAGCAACTTGAGGTATGAGAGGCAAAACTCTCAGCACAAAAAGTTCTAAATCCATTGTTTCATTATCGCTGTGGTGGTCTTGGCTTCATTTCCTTACCCGCTTTTCTGAAGGTGTTCACTTTAAATGTGATCACGTGAAGGTCGACGGACACTAATGACTACTCCAGCTTGTTTTAAAACTGCGTGCGCAAACTTTTAAAATGAATGAAAAGCTTTAAACTGTATGAAACAAGGATGGTTTTCCTGGTGCCTGAGACCCGGGCTGTGGTTTTCATTTGGGTGAGTGAGTATAAGCAATGACCCTGACTGTCCTAGACTATTTTCCTGAACGAGGCTGGCTGTGTTTTTATTTTTTAAAACGTAACTGCTCAGCACTATATTGTGAAAGCACTAGGATGGGCTCAACTTGAAAGCTTGAGAGTCCACATTCTGTTTACCATGCACTGGGACAGACCAATTGATACTGATGATGCCGATCTGCAGCGACTAACGGGATAGGCCGGCCTCCCTTTTTACTCTTAGCAGGCGAGCGTTTGCATTGGCTGGAGGCTGCACACTGCAGTTCTAAGTGAAATATGCCTGCCACTTGTTTTCACTAGAGGTGAATATGGATCAAATGGCGAAGCTGGGAGTTGCCATGTTAATCCAGAACCTGAACATGTCCATGTGGAAACAGGGGCTTCACGTATTTGTCAAGGGCTGTAAGTGTTGCAGTGCCTTTAAACCCAGTAGGAACAGGAGAAAAACATGCCCTTTTATGCATTTCCACTGCCCAGATGTATCTCAGTAGCTTGGTTATAAACTCTGTATTTGGTTTTTATTTTTATTTTTGTAATGGTGGACTGAATATTGACTGACACCTGTAGTGTGTCAAATGACCTGATTGCTCACTGTTTTGCGAGGCTCATAGCCATCTCTCTCAGCTCATTTGTAAACTTAAACCAAAAATAATGAGGACTGAGGTATTAAAGAAATGAGCATCTTACAGACTCTGACCCTAACAGTTGTACCAGGAAAACCTATACAGATGGCCTGTAAATATTGAATTGCTTAATGACATTTCATATTTGCATCAAGTTCCAATCATAGTAAGGACCTTTAGATTGTTGGTCGGTGCGATTAAAGGATTAAAACATATCAGGACTCTAATTTCAAGCAATAAATATTTACTGAATAACCATTATGCTGTGTTGTCTTTTTTTCCCCTCAGGTAATAAAAACCTTCGGTCACTAACAGCAATTATTTTACCTGGGGGTATATTAATTAATCTTAAAGGAGATTGCCATTGTTGGTTTATGTTAAAGTATTAGGAAAGTATTCTTAAGAAAATATAAAGGCAATTGTCACTCATCAAGACACCCCTTTCCTCTTCAATGTTTCTAAATCTTACACAGGAGTGAACAGCCTCCTGTGGCCTGTACTACGAAGCGGGGTTATTGGCTTATCGGGGTAACTTGACGGATTTAAGGTAGTCTGGGCATAATGTAAGTGAGTGAATATTTAGTCCATTTAAACTGTGGTACCTTAAATCTGACAAGTTACCCCGATAAACCAGTAACCCTGCTTCGTAGTACAGGCCACTGGTGTTACTTCTGCTCCAACTTACACTTGTCCCTGCATGTTCATTCGAAGCTCAGTCTTGCTGTTGTCAGTTGTATGTTTGCAATGTGCTATTTGCCCCACTTCTACATTTCTCTGGATAAAATCGTCTGCTAAATGTGTGAAAGGTAAATGTTTTTTTCTATGAATTTTTACTTGGTCAACACTGGAAATAACAGGAATTTTTAAGGATGTGTGAAGAAATGTGCATGTAACGTGGTGGTACCAAACATGGTTACTACTTATGTCATTTAATTAAATATTGTTTGTTGGAAATGTGTTTTATTTTCAGTTGTTTTGGTACCCTTTCCTGTCCCCGGGCCTTTGTTCGTCGATCGTACTTTCATGAAATGTGCGATACCGAAGAACTACAGCTCCCAAAATGCCTTGACACATCTTATTTCCGGTCCTGCGCGGTTTCTGGAGCGGATTGGAACCCGGAGTCAGGATTCAATAAATGTGTGGCCGTTTTGAAAAAAGGTAACGTTGGTTTTATTACCGCGTGTCTTTTTCGCGTGCAGCATTTCACTGGTTTTGTCGAAGGTACAGTATCACAGTGTCTGCTGCCCTACGAAGCCGCAAACCCGGCCAGTTTTGTAATTTGTGACATTAAAACGTTCTGGCTCCAGATGCGATATTCGTTTCCATTCCATCCGCCATGCCGATTGTTCTTTGTTACATTTGCATTACTAAAAGACACCGAGTGGGCTGAGATCGGAGTTAAAACCCGGCTAGAGTTAGGAATCTGATGAAATCCCGGATCTCGTCTCGACCGGATCCTGTTTTTTGTGTACACACTGTGCAGTTTAGTCACGTTTTGTAAACACGACGTGCCTTTTGTTCACTCACTTGGCGATGCGCAGCCAGCTGCGTGATGCTGATTCTTGTGTTTGTCGGTGCACGTAGCAGGCCACTGACATGCCCAAGTTAGTCGACGCGTCCCTCTTGACACTCTACCATTTAGATCGAGTCATCCGTATGCTGAATTGTATAGTAGTGCAACTCATGAAAAGACAAAATAATTTCTTTACGTCCATAACGAATAAATATACTATATAGTAACAAAGTATGAAATAAGGGCCTTCTTGCAAGTCTTTTGCATCTGGCACAAAGGTGTCAATTATGTTGAATAAATAATAAAAAGTTTTTTATGTATATATACATGTAATGTACGTGTTAGTAGCAGTTCTATTTTATGCGGCTTCATAAACTAATCAGTGTGCACTGAAATAGCCTAACCGCACTTTAATAAGTCGGCTTTTCTGTATTTGGAATAACATTTTTTTTGTATTCCAATTTCAGATTGAAAGTATGGCTGAGGGGACACCAGTTGAGTTTATCTGTGAGTATAATGAATGTCTTCATGCATTGTTTCTTTACGTGTCACAAAAGAATTTCAGCTGTTAAGTCGGCATTTTTCTACCACTGTAGCCTAAATTGTAGGCTGATTTGTTTCCTTTAGTCATTAAAATGGTTGATAGGAAAATATATAACATTTATTGTATAGTGTGTTTTTGTTTGTGTGTGTGTGTGTGTGTGTGTGTGTGAGAGAGAGAGGAGGGGGGGTTGTATTTACCACATTATGGAGACATTTTTGAGGTTCCCAAATATTCCTCGGTTTTATAAAAGTCCATAAATGCAAACAGAACATTAAAAAAGCCAAAAGTCTTTAGTAATTTGTTTGGTTACTTATGACTAAGGTTAGGGCTGGGTAGGGGTTAAGGTTGTCATAGTTAAGATTAGGGTTATGCTCATAGAAATGAATGGAGAGCCCCTGCAATGATAAGAATATATTAACTGTGTGTGTGTGTGTGTGTGTGTGTGTGTGTGTGTGTGTGTGTGTTAGGGTGCGAGGACTGCGGTCAGTACCACGACTCTGAGTGTCCGGAGCTGGGTCCTGTGGTGACGGTGGAGGACTCGTTCGTCTTGAGTCGAGCTCGGTGAGTGTATGGCTTTCAGGATAAGCTGTTTTGCCAAAAGGTTGTGTGCACAGCCGTGAGCACACGTATTCTTTTGGTGCATGTGGTCTGTTTGTTTACAAGAGTAAGCATGGTGTGCGAGTTCAGGCATTCAGTTTACTGCATTTCAGTGGGAATATTTAGATGCCCTTTCTGATAAGGTGTTATTTTGACATGGTCTTCGTCATAATTTACATTTATTTTATTTAGTGGGCACTTTTGTCCCAGGCAACGTACAAGTGAGGAAAACAGCATATTACAAATATACGGCTGTCACAGAGTCGACTAGGAATAAGTGCAGCTAGGCTGAGCTTCCAGTGAATGCTCAGGAACAAGTGTATACAGCATAGGAGCAAGAGCTACACGCCATCTTCCAAACAAAGCAAGAGCCCATTATTCAAATCATAGGCAATTATACAAATCAGAAGACAGCACAACATTAAGTCATATTAAGCAGGAGTGTATTACATAGTATATTAAGGAATGTATAGGGATACGTGGGTTAAGATGGCTGTTTTGCCCTTTTCTGTTGCAGCCTGCGTTTAATTTCTTTCCTGCTGTGTAAATCTGGTCCTCCTTCTGTCCCAGCAGCCTCCTCTCTCCTTCCCTTCCTCCCGCATTAACACTTATGCTTCTTTCTATGTCTTAGAGCTATAGGGTACCCGTGAGCATACTGTAATAATGCCACACCGTTATAGGTTAGTCCATTGTTGTTGGCTTGGCGCAGTGCCACCATTACATTCTATTTCAGTGTCCCACTTCCAGGTGATACAAATGTGTCATTATTGAATCAACAATCCTGGTCATTTCTGACTGTCTTGTATTCAGTATTTGTACGTGCACATGGGCTTTAGTTTTCTGCAATGATTTTTTTTTTCTTCTTGTAGTTAAATCGATAATGACTTGAGTATGTAATGTCTTTGTGTTTTCTGTGGGTTCATTGAGCTCAAAATGCCACCTGAAACCATTTACCAGTTACCAGCTTTCTTTTTCTTACTGTATCTCAAGTGCCATGGTATTACACTCTGGAGTGTCTTCATTTAAGAGTCACAATGTTAACCTTTCCCGGTGTATGTTGTCCTGTTCAATCCGTGGCCCAGATCCTCTCTGCCGGATAGTCTGGAAATCCGAAAGGTGGGTGAAGCAGAAGAGGGGGTATTCGTGCTGCGCCATTTGGTGAAGAGGACGCGGTTTGGTCCCTTTGAGGCCAGGCGTGTAGCCCAGCTGAGCAAAGAAGGCCAGTTTCCTTTGAAGGTATGTTCCTGCCAACCCCTAAGCATGGAACCAAACTCTGGGGCACAGCTTTGGGCTTCATATAGAGCCTCATCAGAACATTCACCTCATTCTGATCACTTCCATCTGCATCTTCAGCCCATCTGCCTTCTAAAACAGCAGAAGACCTCTTATTGTTTAGTCACTTTGCACCATTGTACCAGTCCATTTGGAAGTTCCTTCATCATGATATTAGTGGTAGTGACAAAGACTAAACAGTTTCCAAGACTGTTAATGTATTAGTGAGCTTTGTACAAGAGGATACTCATGACACCTAAGTTGCTCTGGACAAATTTTTGCTAAACAAATGTAAATGTAATGCTTGGGGTTCTCAGAGGTCCACACCGCAAAACAATAATTGAAGGCCCTACTTGTTGTAAATACTGGTGCAGGAAATTGCCGTTTGACTCTTTTCTCTGGCTCTCACTGGCTGTGCTCCCTGCAGATGTTCATGAAGGATGGGTCCGTGGTCTGCTTTGACACCACCAATGAGGACGATTGCAACTGGATGATGCTGGTGCGACCGGCCACAGATCACACACATCAGAACCTGACAGCCTATCAGCAGGAGGATGAGGTTTACTTCAACACCTCCCAGGTATCGGATGGCGCCTCCTTCACAGAGCGGTATCCGGAATGCTAATTTTCTCTTAACAGTAATGGTTCTCCTTTCCGCAGGACCTGCTGCCTGGATCTGAGCTGCGAGTCTGGTATGGGGCCTTCTATGCCAAAAAGATGGAGAGGCCACTGCTTAAGCCACTGGTTGCTCCACCTCCATCAGGTATGAATGTCCATAGAAGTGAATCCGTTAGCATGTTAGCCACCACGGCCACTTTTTGCCGATGCATCGTGAGTCTCTTATCTACCAGACATAGATATGGCACACTCCAAGCTGGTTGTTGCAGATGGGATGTTGGGGACAAACCGGGCAGTGGTGCCCTCTGGAGGGAATGATGGAGGTGAGAAGAGGAGCTTTTCTATAGCTACCAGTGCTGCAGCCATTGAGTTTGAGTTGAACGCAGGGGTCTCATCACGGGAACACTTGCTTTTGTTATATTGTGTTCCTTTGGGCGGGACACTATGTGTGATCTTTGTACTTCCTGGTGCATTTTGGCTGCCTTATCATTAACTCATGGTTGTTAGTTAATTAACAAGAGTTGAAAACCATGAACATACCACGTCCTGGTAGGATCAGGCTTGAGGACCACTGGAATGATACAAATCAGTCACCTGTCTGTGTTCGTCCCTAATGAACTCGCCCACATGCAGTGAGGTTAGGTGGTATTTACACTGTTGTGTCTTCAGGTGTCCAGGGACTGGACTGCAACCAGTGGGTGTGTAAAGTCTGCCCAGCTGTGTTCGTAGAACCTCAGCTTCTGACAGGTGACTCGTCTCTCCTTGCTGCACTCGCCTAAGGCTACCAAAGATATCATACATCGTTAGTCAGTTCCACGGAGGGGGGGGAGGCGTCTGGCTCAGTGGGATCAGACACTGTGCCTGTGATCAGGAGGTCACCAGTTCAAACCCTGAGGACGGCTGAGCAACGTCACTGTTGGGCCCCTGAGCAAGGCCCCTAACCCTCAGTTGCTGTTGGGCCCCTGAGCAAGGCCCCTAACCCTCAGTTGCTGTTGGGCCCCTGAGCAAGGCCCCTAACCCTCAGTTGCTGTTGGGCCCCTGAGCAAGGCCCCTAACCCTCAGTTGCTCCAGGGACCGTCTGACCCAGCTTTCTCAAAAATAAATGTACATCACTTTGGATAAAAGTCCCTGCTAAATAAATAAATGTAATGTTTCCTAGAGCAATTGTGCAGCTGTGCCTGCTGTAATGACCGTTATGCACCATCATCTCATATTGCTCTGTGCTGTTCAGCGATCATTCACTTTTCCAGTCCCTGAGTTTGTAGCTCTCTCTCTCTCTCTCAGACCACCTGCTGAGCCACTTGCAGGAGGTGAAGAGCATAGTGCCACCTGTCACTGACCCTGTCGGCGAGGTGAAGATGGTGTTTCCGGAGAGCGCCCTCAATACTGACACCGCCGCGGCCCCGCTGGAACACAAGAAAAAAACGGCTCGCGTCAGAAAGGTCAAAGGTCACAAAGTGCCACCCACCCCAGCAGCCGCAGCTGAGAGCTTTGTAAGCAAAGGTTGGTGAACCAGGATATCGATTCGTGCGGTTGTTCATCAAACGTGTTGAGCAGTTGTGTGTCATTGTTTTGGCATTGTTATAACAGCAGTGTTTCCTCCGGGTACTCCGGTTTCCCCCCACAGTCCAAAGACATGCTGAGGCTAATTGGTGTTACTAAATTGCCCGTAGGTGTGCATGTGTGAGTGAATGGTGTGTGAGTGTGCCCTGCGATGGGCTGGCCCCCTGTCCAGGGTTGTTCCCTGCCTCGTGCCCATTGCTTCCGGGATAGGCTCCGGACCCCCCGCGACCCAGTAGGATAAGCGGGTTGGAAAATGGATGGATGGATGGATAACAGCAGTGGGGATTTAGCAAGGGACCCCCAAGGGTTGGGTGTGATCAGGTGAATCTGCATGCATGTTGTGTGAGTGCATGGCTTGCAGTGTATTGGCATCCCATCCAGGGTTACCTCTGACTTATGCCCCAGACTTACCATGATCTCATGCATCCCATTCAGTGTGTCCTCTGCTTCCAAGGTCAGCGGGACTGAAGTGAATTAGTGGCTGTTGGGGTAGCGTGTCGCTTAGTGTGTTTGAGGTCTGTGCCAGTGTCTATGTCCGTACTGGTCTGTGTCCATAAAGTCCTGGATTCAAATGCCGTGACCAGTAGAGGATTCGTAGCACCTTTGGACCCTTTGGTTAAAGCCATTAACCTCAGCCGCTTCAGGAATGTCGGATGCTGTCTGCCCCCAAACTTGCCTGATTTAGTCTGCTAATTAACTTCAAAAATATGGATTGGTGAATTATTGAATATAATGTCTGTCCGCTCTGCAAAAGTCCAGATGATCTCCAGCTGTCCGTGAACTCCAGCTTGTGTGTCTTTCTGCGTAGATGGTGACCCCATGGTTCCCATGGAGCATGTTCTCAGCACCATGCCTCCAGACATTGGCCTGTCACTGCTCACTGGCCCCGACCTCATGATTGGCCTGGACGGCGTGCCAGTGAAGGTGCATAGGCCCACCCGCAGTGTGCCGCACCCTGGGAAGTAAGGGTGACCGTCGACCCCTTGGCAGTTCCTGCCAACTGCACGCAGATTCCAGACAGGCGGACTTTTCTCTTTTGGCTCATTCTTATCCCCTTGTAGGGCGGGGATCCGGAAGCGCTTCATGCGGCAGGGTGGAGATCACAAACGGGTCTATCAGTGCAGCCTCTGCAACAAGGTCTTCCAGAACAGCAGTAACCTGAACCGCCACGTTCGGTCCCACGGTACTGCAATCCTGTTCCCCATCTGCTTTCAGACATCACTTGTGAAAGATCAGGTTTTCTGCTGATTCATAGATGTAGATTGCAAATGTTAATTTCTCAAAACATCGCACTTACTGACGTGTTTCCCCTGATGGCTCTTTTAATACCTGCTGTTTCAGGCGACAAACTTTTCAAGTGCGACGAATGTGATAAGATGTTCAGTCGGAAAGAGAGTCTGAAGCAGCACATCTCATACAAACACAGCAAGAATGAGGTAAAGGCTCCAGTACCTCTGACTTTGCTTTGAGATGTCTCATAAGGTCTGGCTTGGAGAAGAGGACACCTCACAGGACTATCTGGCATGTCAGAGTTGGGTGTTGATAGTCTCTTATGTTCCATCTCTGTTCTTCTCAGTCTGACATGGAGTACAGATACAAATGCGGCACATGTGAGAAGTCTTTCCGTGTGGAGAACGCCTTGATGTTCCACAACTGCAGAACCGGTGGGAGTTCTTTCTTACCGATTTTAAAAAATGTTTTTTTTTAATATTTGTGTCAGATTACTATTTCCTGTCATCACAAACTATTCGGGATGCTATTATCGACAGTGTTCTTTTTCTCTCTCTCCCTGCCCCCCAGATGACAAAACCTTCCAGTGTGAGATATGTTCCCGATTCTTCTCCACCAACAGCAACCTGTCCAAGCACAAGAAGAAACATGGTGAGAAGCTGTATGCCTGCGAGATCTGCAACAAGATGTTCTACAGGAAGGACGTCAAACAGGACCACCAGAAGAGACACATCGTGGGTGAGTTCGGCGATGCCAGGGCTGACTTTCTTATTGGGGGTGTCGAGGTAGCCCTAATGATCCCGGCCCGTGGCTACAGGGCCGAAGCACATGAAGAAAGAGGAGATGGAGACTAATGGAGAAGAAGGAACAAAGTACAGGAAAGAGCCTTCGGCCTGTCCGATCTGCGAGAAAGTGAGTCAACAAACCAAGTAAACCAATTACATCACTGTGGGCCTTTTGAAGTAGCGATGAAAGGTTGGTCTCACGGGATGAGGCTCTGAACCTTGATATTGTGCGTTGTGTCCAGGTGTTCTCTTGCAGGAGTAACATGAACAAGCACCTGTTAACCCACGGAGACAAGAAGTACACCTGTGAGATTTGTGGGCGCAAGTTTTTCCGAGTGGATGTCCTGAGAGATCATATTCACGTTCACTTCAAGGTGTGACACGCAGATTGTCAGTTGTCTACATATTGATTTCTGTGAACCTCTGAGATGTGGGAACTTGTTACCATATCTCACTTTGATTAACTAACTAAATTATCTCCCACAGAGATGCAGCTAACTAATTAGTATGCCACCTGTAGAAATCACTGGAGCTTAGTAGTAGGGATGTCTGACTTTGCCTCATGTTACCTAAAGGAGATTCCCCTTTACATTTTGACGTCCCCTTTCTGTCAAACCTTTTCAGGACATTGCACTTATGGACGAGCAGGAGAGGGAGGATTTCATCAGGAAAATTGGAATCTCTGTGGATGACAGCGATGTCAATTCTGGCGAAGACGACGCCGATAATGATCCGGAGAACCACAAGTACAGCTGCAAGAAGTGTCAGGTGACCTGCCATGAAGTACCTTCAGACTGATGCTACTATGCCATATTGAAAGTGTGCCTTTAACAGGATCTGGGCAGGGTAGAGGATTGCTGCTCTCAGGCTGGAGTCTGTTACCTCTAGTGAGGATTCAGATGTGTGTGTTTTGTGCCAGGTGACCTTTGCCAAAGGCAGAGAGTACCTGAAGCATATCATGGAGGTGCACAAAGAACGCGGCTACAGCTGTGTCATCTGCAACCGGCGATTTGCCCTCAAGGCGACCTATAATGCTCACCTTGTCATCCACCGCGAGCAGCTTCCTGACCCAGAAGTTCAGAGGTATGTCATGAGGGATGGAGCTTAGCTCGGGGTGATGGGGCATGTTGTGACAGAGCCTAGGGTGATCAGGAGGGAATGCCCCAGGTGGGAGGGAGTTGGGGTATGGTAAAAATGTACTAAAAAGGATATATTTTTTTTTATGAAAAACAGGTCTCAGTGTCTCCAGGTTATTTCTGTCATGTAAACATGTACCCCTTTGTGTGTGTGTTTGTTTTTTCTGAAGGTACATCCACCCCTGTGAAATGTGTGGTCGGATCTTCAACAGCTTCGGGAACCTCGAAAGGCACAAGATCATCCATACAGGTGATCCGCAGTTCCGTGCGGAACTCGTAACGATGGTTTTATTAACGCGGCTGAGGGCAAGAAAGAAACAAATGAACGCCACAGCTTTAAGATTTTCACAGTGTGTGTCACATGTGCATGCTGACTGAAATCAGAGTCATCGGGTGTAACTTCATCCTTTGTCATACCAGGTGTGAAGAGCCACAGCTGTGATCAGTGTGGAAAGTCCTTTGCCAGGAAGGACATGCTGAAGGAGCACCTGAGGGTCCATGACAATGTGCGGGACTTCCTGTGTGCCGAATGCGGGAAAGGTGAGTTTCTCACGCTCTCCTGACCTCATCGCTGACCTGGTCATCCCGACGCCAACTCATTGGAGAGGGCGCTCTTTAAGGTGTCGTCAAGAAGGTTGATGGACTGATTCTTCTGTGCCCCCAGGAATGAAGACCAAACACGCATTGAGGCACCACATGAAGCTACACAAGGGAATTAAGGAATATGAGTGCAAGGAGTGCCATCGCAAGTTCGCCCAGAAGGTCAACATGCTGAAACACTACAAGAGACACACCGGTGCGTCTCCACGAGTTTTCGGAGGGGGGGAGGCTCTCATCCACTGTGAGATGCGTTTGTGGGACATGGATGAATGACGAGTACCCGCAGGACGGCATCATATCACTACCTGCATGCTCCGTAGCCTGAGGGTGGAGTGAGGAATGTGAGCCTTAGACTTGTTGACTGTGGTCTTCCATAGTTCCATAGTTCAAGAAAACATGTCGTTTTTAAAGGAATAGATCAGATAGCTGCTCCTTCCCCTAGGTGTTATAGATGAATGCTTCTTCTCCTATAACATCATAGGGTCCACAGCATATCATATACCTGTTATCAGCCCCTACCCTCAGAACCCGTAAATTGTCATGAGGCTGGTTGTTTTTGCATTCGCCACTTTCTTGTGACCTGAGACCCCCGCTTGAGTCCCTGACATTCAATATTCCCTCAGGAATTAAGGACTTTATGTGCGAACTGTGCGGGAAGACATTCAGCGAGAGGAACACCATGGAAACACACAAACTGGTTCACACGGGTGCGTCTCCCACCGGGTCCACCGAAAATCGTAACTGTTGGTGGTGTCAGGTATTAAGAGTGGTGTTTTCGAGTCCCACGGTCACGAGGTCTTCCACTTCTGCACACAGTGGGCAAGACGTGGTCCTGCTCAGTGTGTGATAAGAAGTACGTGACGGAGTATATGCTGCAGAAGCACGTGCAGCTGACGCATGAGAAGGTGGAGGCCCAAAGCTGTCATCTGTGTGGGACCAAGGTGTCCACCAAGGCGTCCATGAACCGCCACATGCGTCGAAAGCATCCCGAGGTCAGCTGCTGTTGCCTACTGCATTTCAAGAAAGTCATTGTCCAATTTGCTGGTCAACGAAGGTCTCATCTTCATGTTCCCTTTCACTCGAGGTGGTGACCGTGAGAGTGGATGACTTCGATGATCTCCAAGAAACCACAACCGTCGACGCTTCCACCATCAGCATCGTTCAGGTCTGTAGTGGCGTTGGCGTCCTTGGTATCATGGTGAGGTGTCAGTGTGGGACTAACCCGTGGGTTTTATTTTTCCCCCATCATCCTCCTCCATCACAGCCCCCTCTGTCTCTGGACAAGGAGCCGCTGACGTCCGAGAAGCCCCCCCGGCGGTGCAAGCCACCTAAGAAGAAACCGAAGCAGGTGGAAGAGGAGGAGCTTTCGGACTCTGATGACTACGGTGACTTTGCTGACAAGGACACGGATTTTACAGGGGCCGTGGGCGACGAGACGAGCTCTGCAGTGGAGAGCATTCAGCAGGTGTGTCCGTGTGTGTCGTCTGGAGTAGCCGTGATCCAGTCAGACGTTTGTAGTTTAATCAGACTTCAACGTAAGGCTGGGAGGCAATGTGTGGCTCAGAAGGTCTGGCTCTAACTATGGGCAGAATGGGCAGTCGCCTAAGGTCCCCAAATCACTTGCCTTCGCGCAATTGGGCAAATAAATAATGATGAATAAATTAATGTAAATTTGTGCATTGCGGATCCTCGTAGGCGTACAGTAACCCAATGGGCGGTGGCCTCGTTGTGTCCGACAGGTGGTGGTTCTGGCGGATCCCACCGCAACGGCCTCGCCCTCCCCGTCCAGCTCCGTGGGGCTGAGCAACATCACCGTGACCCCCATTAGCACCCCCACGGCGGCCCAGTTCACCAGCCTGCAGCCCGTGGCCGTGGGTCACATGGGCTCCAGCGACCGGCCGCTGACACTGGACAGCTCCATCCTCACGGTCACCTTCGACGCAGTCGGTGGCCCCACCGTGCTGCACAATCGGCCGGCGGAGCTCCCCTCAGAGGCAGGCGCAGCGCCCTCGTCAGTTGCACACTTCATCAACCTGACCACCTTCGTCAACCCCATTGCCCACCCCCTGGAGCCGGCAGCGCTGTCCTGGCGACCCGTGGAGGCCCCGGACGGGAGCCCCCATGCTTCTGTGGCCGAAGAAGCTCAACCGGAGGCCCAGGAGACACAGGTGGAGCCCTCCGCCCCCCCGCAGGCCCAGCCGGCAGCCGAGCCCCCCGAGCCAGTCCAAGCTCCGGCACCGGCTCAGCAGCCCCCTCAGCAGATGTACAGCTACTAGAGGCCTTGTGACTCCTAGCCTGATAACCCTCATCCTGGCTTAAGTCTGTCAACATAACTAGAAGCGTCTATAAGGCGACAGTCCATTGTGAAATCTGAATAAAGTGCATCGGCGTTGCCAAACTCGGCCCGTAAGGAAACTCTCACCCCCCTGAACGTCGTAGGCGACGGCAGATGTGGGTTCGCTCCAAAGCAATCTCCCATTTGCCCTACCTCTGCCCTGCCCACCTCCTCACCACACAGCTGCAGCAACGGGACATTTATGACGAGCCCAACACTCAGTACTGATCTCAAGCATTTCTCTACACTATAAATCAAGTTCCAATTTTTTATTTGCTGCACATACCCAAACATACACTACATGTATGTTGCCAGGTGCTTTTATACAACTTATTCATGGACTGTGCTCAAAAGGAAACATAATACAAAGAAAGAATATAAAAAAATATTTTAATAAAAAATAACTGATGAATGCTCAAGGGTTCAGTGCAAAAGCACAGTCAGGTCAGAGAAGGTAGGACGGCTCGGAAAGGCCAGCGGCTTTTACCTGTATAATGTCCTTAATTTCAGTCTAAGTATATGCACTCCTTGTGAATTATAAATCATTATCATGATGCTAGATCTGTGTATCGAAGTTCCCAGGCATGAAAATATGAGAATTTGCCCTTGCATATTCCCTGCAAAAGATGCAGCTTTTCATTTAAGGGCTGCATATCCACAAAACAAGGATTTTATTGTAATTGGAGAAGCATCACACAGAATGTACTTACTGGAGATTAATTCTATTGGTAAACAGTGTAAAAGCTTTATAAAGAGCCAAACGATAATGAGGCCAAGATTTTTGACTTAATCAGACAAAAATGTTTTATGATGACTAAATCTGGGTGAAAGTTGAAATACTAGCTTTTGAAATGAATTTTCCTTATAGAACTTATATTTAACTTTGGTTCTGTTTCAAACTTTAGTATGTAAAACAGTGGAAGAAATGAAAAACAAATCCAGATATGATTGCAGAAAGTATTACATGAGTCAATATAATGAACTTTGTGAATATGTTTTTCAGATTTGGCCAATAAACCTGAAATGATCATTTACTAAGTTTCATTCTGAGTGATTTCACAATTGGGCCCTTAACCCGAATTGCTCCAAGGACTGTCTGACCCTGCTTTCTGAATTGTACATTGCCTGCTAAATAAATACATGTAGACGTATTAAGCCTACAGTCCAGGCTAGGATTCAGAAATCCTCTGGGTAGGATGCTGTCTCCACTGTGAGCCATCTTCCGGTCGAGGGGCAGCGGCCTCCCAGGGCTGCATTTGCAAACCGTAAGCATCACAGGCTCCTAGGTCTAGATATTGCCTCCTTTTCCTGGGTTTCGAAGGATCCATTAGGTTGACGTATCCCAAGATTCAGTGTGCAGGCTTTCGAAGGACGCAGCCTACAATGGCTACATAGACTGTGTCCTTTGAAGGAATCAGCCCCTGAATTGAAACATAGCTATCTCTATATGCAGTTAGCTGTCTTCTGGTTCCATCATCAGTGTGGGCCATCTTCTGCCACTGGCTGTGTCTGAGTTCAGGGGCTGCATCCTTCAAAGGATGCTGCCTACGTAGCCTTTGTAAGGCTGCATCATTCGAAGTTTCGCACATGACAGCCCCTGACACGTTCAGTCTTCAAATGCAGCCCCTGTATTCGGACATAGCCGTAATCAGGATTCCCTACTGTTTTTGTCAGTTGAGCTGTCATATAAAACAGGACTGACTTTGTTATAGGATTCAACCTTGGCAACAGATAAGAATTTGTACAAAACTCATTTGTGATGGTATGCGGATCCTGTTCAGCCACTGGATTGTAGCCTGTGACACTCTGCATTTGGAAAAAATATCTCTACACTTAGAGGGAACTCCGGTTCACTGGGGACAAAGAATTTTCATACAGTTTGTGTTCTTTTGCAAAGCCATATCAGGGGATCTTTATCTGACTTGTCCTTCAGTAGAGATAGCTTCTGGGAGTCTCACATCAAGTTCCATGATTGTCTCCTCATATGCATTATTCTGTGAAGAGCTTGGTGTCTGACGTGAATTACACACTCTTTGGATCCAGAATGCATCGTTCGGTAAACTTCAGATCACCAGTTAATAATTCATGACTTTGGCCAATAAGGCGATCGCAGATTCTCAGGATGACAACAGCATTTAAAGAGCTGCAGGTTGAAGTTCAGTCAGCCAGTAGGGGGGAGCCAAACACAAAAAACCTGCCTTTAGAAATTTCTGGAACTGTTGACAGAAAACTCATTAAATATGCATGTCTCTTTGATTTGTAAGTTCCCCCTTAAACTCATTTTGGAATTTAACTGAGACTTTATAAGTTTATACACAAATTTTAAGCACCCCTTGTGAACATTGAGCCATGTAGGACGCCTCACATTAAGAACACCTTGAAATATCATGTTTTTTTGTTTACTGCAATTAAAGCCCTTGAAAGAGACCTACGTTTTGCTTAACTCTTTCCAATGTGTGGGGCAGGGGTGAGGTGCGGGGCTGCTCTCTCACAGCCCTCACACCTCCTAGTGACGAAACTTTTTCTGAAGATACACACTCGCATTTCAAAAGTAGAGGAGCGCCCCCTCATTGCCCCCATGCATGCTGCAGATACAGGCGTTCCCAGATACCTCCCTAAATGGTAACGACTCTGGCCGCCTGAACGGCTTTTACTGTGTGACAACAGCATGCCACCCTATAGACTGCCTACCTCAGGTGTGAAAGGCAGATTGTGCTTATTGAGATTCTATGCTGATGTGTTTGATACCCAGCTATTTACTTGTAAATAAGCTTGGTGTATAGCATTACATGCCGCCTTTGCATGTTTCAGTTCACACCGACACAAACTCAGGGCATTTTAAATCCACCCTTTTTTTCCATCATGCTGAACATCTTTCTGTTTAACCTGGGCCTTCAGCTGAAGGTGCAACAGGGCCACCTTACAATGGATTATTCCTTGGAGATGTATGGCTTCTATGGCTTAGTCAGCACTTTTATTCATAGTTACAGTTCAACCTGTAACAGAATGTTTCTAGTTATTTAGTGGACATTTTTTATCCAAAGGGTGACATCACACTGCCAACTACAGCATTTGAGCCAATCACAAGCATCATAACCCGCCGAGCCACATGCTGTTGTTTTATTGGAATGATTCGTCTTAAGTACTTTTTCCTGATGGGTTCAGTGGGTACAGGAAGTAGTCACAAGTAGGGCGAGAGGGACTCCTTTCTGGAGTGTAGAGTGGTCTAGAAGTTACGGTATGATGTCAAAGGCCATGGAAGATCCCACTAAAATAGACAAATTCTCTTTTGTATTTTATAACAAAACTCCATATAATATAATTCATGGTCTTTCATAATCTGAGGAGGGAATTGACTTTTGTATATAATAATAGAACTGAATGTACCAGAAATGTCTAGTCAGACTTTATGACTCACAGGGAAGTAGACTAACTACATAAATAATAAAGTCTGTAATTTTATATGCAAATCCAAATTCTTCACCAAATGGTTGAGAAATATTTATATTTGTTCTTGAATCACTTCAGAAACATGTATTATGTTTAAGGTTTAATTAATTGTAAAAAAATGCTAAAATCAATGTCCTGACTTACTTCTTCTGACATTCCACTGTGCTTTGACTCCATTTTTTAAAGTAACTTATTATACCTTTTAACATAAATCTAAAGTAAACACAACACAACTAATATTAGAAACTCCATTCATGATTTTCTAGGACTGTAACTCAAAATGCCAAGCCTTCTGATACAGCCTTTATGACCTCAGCTGGCGCAATTTGGCAGGCCCAGGAAATGATGTCACCCGAGTCAGCCCCTCCTATCACCTGGGCGTGGGAGGAGTTCACACAGTACTAGACAGCAGGAAAAAACAAGGAAGAAAGAAAAAGTGGTCAGGTGCGTGTTTGTGTGAATGTCGAGGCTAGAGTTACAGAAAGTGAGGGATCTTATCTACTGGACACACAATAGGTTTGTTTGAGGATATGGAGCCACCAGAGTGTTCTGTGGGAAGTTTGGGGCTGCTGAAAACCTTTGGTTCCTCTGAGTTTGGCAACTGGGAAAAGATTGGCTCTGGAGGATTTGGACAAGTATACAAAGTACGACATGTACAGTGGAAAACCTATCTGGCGATCAAGTGCCCTCCAAGTCCTCATATGGATGAAAAGTAAGTGGCTTCTGTCTCTGCAGAGAAGGAGTTAAGCCGTTTACCTACTAGCAGTCCAGGTTGTTTCCCATGTAGATAAGGAGAGCGTTTGTCCGGTCGCCGTTCTGACCGTGAGTCCGTAAGTGTGACGTAAGCCATGTGCTGTGATCTGAGAACTGTCCTTTCTAAACTGACTTTCAGTAGCTGAACTCATTAGTGATTATTACTTCATGATGGAAAAGCCGCCATACAGCCAATGCAGAGATTTACCTTCACAAAGTGAAGTTATATACCATACTAGCACCATAGTACTGTAGTAATGTGCCCTGCCTTTTTCTCCTCTTCATTTTTCTTTTCTTTTATGTTTTTCCTTTTGTTTGATACAAATATGAATTAGTTTATAGGAATATGTTATAACCCCTTTTATTTAAAAGCAAAGGAAAAATAACATTGTTCCCAAGTTTTTATAATTTAACTATTATTGAGTTGTTTCCACATTAAACATGAAAAGATAAAATAATCTCTTTTAAAAGATAAAATGTGCTTGGGAGGAGGCTATTGCAGATGTTGATCTGATTTGGAATACAATGATAATTAAGGATTTTATATCTTTAGGTTCTTATTATGTATTTTTATATGATTTGGTAACAGTTAAGAGGGGATACATTTTGCCCAGACTTGTGCCCCAGATAGGAAGCATGAACAATTCTCAGTGTCTGTGTTTGGAAGAGCAGGTTCAGAAGTATATTTCTCCACGATCCTTTGCAACTTTACTGCTTAGTGGAAACCGTGAATTTAAGGGGTACTCAATCAATTAATTAATATAATGAATGTGGTCTTATCACTCTCTGTAACCTGAAATTCTGCATGTAAGCATGAACCCAAAGAAAAGTCCCATATCTAGGCAAAACGTTACTGCTGATAGAGGATTTGGTGTTTGTGTTTACACACTGAACACTAAGATTTACTTTCCATCATGCTGAACATCTTTCTGTTTAATATTAAGTTAATGGTGGCTTCTTTATGTTTTCCTGTGCCTGCGCGCATGCATGTGTGTGTGTGTGTCTGTCTGTGTTTTTGTAATTCTTTGGGGGACAGATTTCCCCACAATGTGATTAAAAACCTGTAATTTTTTACCTTGTGTGGACACTTTTCCAGTCCCTATAAGGGAAAATTCAATTTTATAAAAAATAATCTGTGGCTGCAATCAAAGAACTAAAAATCTCGTATTTTGTTTGTTTTTTTTTATAGTTAAGGTTAGGGCTAGGAAGGGGTTAAGGTCATCATGTTGGGATTAGAGTTTTCCCCACAGAAATGAATGGAGAGTCCCCACAAAGATATAATTGCAAACCTGTGTGTGCGTGTGCACGCGTGTGTGGTGCATCCAAGGATTTATTTATTTATTTGTTCTATAACACACCTAACTTGGCTGCTTCACTCCGCCTTTGTGTTTGTCACTCTGTCATGGAGATGACAGATTCCTGTACCTCTGTGGAATGCCATGTTCCGCCCATAGATGGACCGGAAGCCTGCCTTGGCATGCACCTGAACAGGCACATTTTGTTGGAGAAGGACATCTATCTGCAGCACATCTACATCTGAAAACAGACAGATGGATCCTTTTTTTTGCAATTCTTCTAATTTTAGTAAATATTCTGAAACAGTTCTGAAAGGTCTGAAGCAGGGGAGAGGAAATACAAGTATCTGCATATTAGCTTTAAGTAGCCCTGGCTTTTGCATAACAAATGATACACCCCAGGGGGCCGGTGTGGCACTGCAGGTTAGGACGGTGTCCCCCTGTTCGGAAGGTCGTTGGGTCAAATCGCATGGTTGGCAGAATGATGTCATCATTGGACTCTTAGCAAGGCCCTTAAACCAGAATTACTCCAGGGACTGGATGACCTTGCTTTCTCAGTTGTATCTTGCTTTGGATAAAAGCGTCTTCTAAATCATAGCAAAATGTGGAAAATAATGTGGCGTATACAAGGGTAAAAACCAAGTTTTTTGAAACAGCTTGTGAGTAATACTTTAACTGCAGTTTTGCACAGTGATATCTGTGCTTATGGGGTTTTTTATGGGGTTTTTCCAACCTATCTATCAGTTTGCATGGGCTCCTCTTGAAGAGAATGAGTCAAGGCTGAGACAGGGCGGTTTTCTGCTCCACATCTCAGACTCGCCGAGTCGATTGCCAGGCACAAACAATGGCTACCTACATGAATGACTTCAGCCTGTTCGGTGGGCAACCCTGAACCAAAAGCCTATCTTTTAAGTATCTATGAACAACATAAACTTGCCTGCGCTGAGCACCACTCTCCTTCATAAGCGTGCTTTGTTCAGCTACCTTCTTAGCCAACCAGTGCTTATGGAAACAATGAGCAAAGCTGCAGAACCAGTCCTGCTAGCCTGCTCTTAAAAGGAGACATTGTCTGCTTGTGGAGCACTGCGAGTGTGCTTTAACTGAAGAGATTAGCCTACGGGTACTTGCTCTCAAATGCACGTCGACAACATTCTCCCCCCTTTTCGAAAAATAGTTCCCCAAATCAGTCTACCTGCCAGCACTCGGTGTACTTCTGACCTGCGATCTGTTAATATTTTAATAACTAAACTTTCAAAGGGAACAAAGTTCCCAATAACAAGTGGCGTGGCGTGGCTTCTCCTCCTGTCTCCACCGCCCAACGAATAAGGCGATTTAAAATAATGTAGGTCGGAGGTTTGTTGTTTATAAGGATTTTTTTTTTCTTCAGGGGTCTGGCAAACAAATGCTAAGCAGCCACAGCTATTTATTCTACTTTGCTCACCCCCCAATATGCTTTTAGGCACATGTATCTGTAGCTATCTGTATTAGCAATCTGCGCCTGTGTCTGCAAGGTCATAAATTCAGATCCAGTTGCAGTCAGAAGAACCATATCACCGCTGGTCCCATGAGCAAGACCCTTAAGCCCAGTTGTCGCAAGGCTGCTGACTTCTGTCTGACCCCAAGCTTTCCTCGCTAGCATGTCACTTAGCGGATGCATTTTCCCCACAAGCAAATAGGCTGTAAATATTTTGCTTTTAAGTAACATGAAAGTTATAGTGGCTGCAGTTATGATAATCTTGGTGCATTTCAGTACATGTTTAGTGTAGTGAAAAACCTCTAATACACCACAATCCATTGATATTGAGGAATAAGTTCACTAAGTCGATAAATACGTCATGCATTAACTTGCCAGTTTTTAATGTTCGTATCGCTTATAGGGGTCCTTTTTAAATCGGAGCTAGAGCTAAAATAAAAAACGATAACTGCTAAAGGGGTTTGTGACAAGATGCATCGTTCGTGACTTGTTCTTCAACCATCGCAGACACTGTGCTGAATTCCATTAGATGGGGGACTTCGAATGATGCTCTTGGTTACAAATTGTGAAGATAGTTCTGTCCAATAAACCTGTCAGCGGCCATCGCCATGCAGCCGCACACGGGTGGCGCGTTAAAGACGTCAGGAATGCTGCAACCTGAGTTTGAACTGGTTTTTAAACTGTGGAATGAGGGGGACCAACCAGAGGTGTACATGCAGGTCCCTAAAATCACAGTCTGCTCTGAAAACATGGCAGAATTTTCCCATTCATATATGGATCGGATGACACATAACAATGGCAGCCAAAATGCTTGCAATACAATCATCAAATGGTCTAAGAGGCTGAAGCTAGGTTCTTCTCTCAATTAGGGAGCAAGCTGAGCTGCTGGAAGAGGCCAAGAAGATGGAGGCAGCAAAGTTCCGCTACATCCTGCCCGTGTATGGGATCTGTAGTAACCCCCAGGGGCTGGTGATGGAGTACATGGAGACGGGGTCCCTGGAGATGCTGCTAGCTACCGAGCCTCTGCCCTGGGAGCTCCGATTCCGGATCATCCACGAGACGGCCGTCGGCATGAACTTTCTCCATTGCATGAACCCTCCCTTGCTGCACCTGGACCTCAAGCCCGCCAACATCCTGCTGGACGCCCACTATCACGTCAAGGTATCAGATAGCCAGGCCCTTGTAAGCGCATGACAAACGTCTGGGCTCAAGGTATCGCTAAGTCTGGGGAGCTCCTATGTTAATAAGGCCTTAGTTATTGGGGGACAGGTTTTCATACTTAATCTCTGCCCACTTGACAATGGATGCTTTGGGAGAGAAGCACTAAGTTGGCCTCCAATGCAGGTTCCCAGCAGCCCTTCCTCAGGAGCTTAATACTCAATGACTAATGGTGCGGAATGGGTGGGAACTGTAGCCCCGCAGTGCAGTTTTATAAATCCTGTATGTAAACACGCATCATGGGCCAGTCTCGACACGAAGTGGCACGATGTAGTAACGTGGGTCTCGCCCATCAAAGGCAGCTCAAAATAGACGTTCTTGAGTCAGGATCTCCGTGCCTCATGCAGAAGGCCTGGTTGCCCAGGTACCCACCCTGCATTGAGCGAAGACAAATGAGGGCTCAGGCAGTGCCGTGCGATCTGCGAGGGTTGCCTTCGGCGAGCCTGCCAAAGCATGTTGCATTAACCCCGCTGCTGCGCTCGCTCACTCCGCTCACCTCACCTCACCGTGGGCTGGAGGGGAGTTGTCTGAACACATCCCCATGCCATCTCATCTCTTAGATATCAGATTTTGGCCTGGCGCGGTGGAACGGCTTCTCCGGGGCCGACGACATCAGTCGTGATGGATTCTGTGGCACGATTGCCTACCTGCCACCGGAGAGGATCATCGAGAAGGAGCGGGTCTCTGACACTAAACACGATGTCTACAGGTGACAGTCCCTACTTATTAAACATCATCACAGTCTTACATTCATTTCAATCTCTGACATTTTTCTCATTTTTGTGTGTTTTTCTTTTTTTGTTTGTTTATATTTCTTGGTTTTGAGTACTTGTTTATTTAATTAAGCATAAAACAAGTCATTTAACTACTTCCTTTCCTGTTTTAGCTTTTCTATAGTGATCTGGGGTATTCTCACACAAAAGAAGCCATATCAAGGTAATGCAATACATCTTTGTTACTAATTCCTTCGGGTTATTGGGCAGTGATTAGTGAAGCCATCTTCCTCATCAATGACTAACAATATATAATAATATAAAAGTAACTGCTTATTCACTATCCTCTTCATTTTGAAAAAGAAAGTTACTCAACTTTACTCCACTTCAAGTCATCCACATGACGTTTCTTAAATCAATAGTTATGAGACATCGCAGTGTTTGTTTACGCATGACACCTGCAAGCCTGTTCGCACACAAACACGTTCCGTTTCCCATTTCATTTCTGAGAAAATAGACCGCCAAGGCAGATTTTATCAGTCCCCTAGTGCTCAGATCATTGACTTCTTTCTGGTAGTACATTTTTTATTTACTTATCTGGTAGTCGTTTAGTTATAATTTCCATGTACATAAGGTCTGAGTTGCCTTGTAAAACTATGGGAAACGACCACAGTTTTTAACAGGTGGTACTTTTCCCATGAATGTAACGTGTAGCTTTACTTGGTGAGTGTCCTCACTGTGGCCAAAATCTTAGTATCTTGGCTTTGAAAGATCCTATACGATGGTCCACTGTCTGCCATTCTCTGATTGAAGGTACAATTTCTACCATGATGTATTGTGATGTATAGGTAATTGAGTTACCAGTATGTCTCAGGTCAAAACACCAAAGTTTTGAGATGGAGTGTCATTGTAATATTCTGCTTAGCTGCATGGCCTTTAATGTTCCTCACTGTGATTTGAAACGTAGAATTAAGATGATGGATGAATTATCTATCTATCTATCTATCTATCTATCTATCTAATCTGTTTGTTTGCTATGTATTATTATTTTTATTATGACTTTGTATTTTGGTTTATTTTTTACTATTGGCTAATACTAAAATGACTAATCACAGGCTTCTTAGCTGTTACAGGCTTGCACCCAGAGGTCAGCTGTAGCTGCATGCTGTACCAGTAGCCATATGCTAACCAGGGTGCTGCGTACCGGTAGCCAAATGCCGTCCAGAGTGTGGTGAACTGATGGCCATATGCTAACCAGAATGTGTTTTGCAAGTAGCCGTATGCTAACCAGAGTGTGTTGTGCAAGTAGCCGTATGCTAGTCAGAGTGCAGTGTACCAGTAGCCATATGTTAAACGCATGCTCCTTTTCACAGGGGAGAACAACATCCTACACATTATGGTGAAGGTGGTGAAGGGGATACGGCCAGATTTGGGGGTTCTGCCACGCAACCGGCCCCAGGCCTGTAATGGCTTCATAGCGCTGATGCAGAGGTGCTGGCACGAGTTCCCGCAGGCCCGGCCCAGCTTCCAGGGTAAGCCGGAACCCCACTTCGGCTCCTTGGGGTGTCTCTCAGTTTCTGACTTGTTTATACTTATAGCTCGAGGTTGCGACCATTTCATATCCAAATTGCAGGCCTCCATCTACAGTTAAGAGCTGGAAAATTATCACTACGAAGCGTCCCTGCCCCTAAGGATTTCATAACTATTTTGCAACATCGACCCATTCATAAGGAAAGTCAGACAAACAGGAACTGCAGTTTGTTACGTTAAGCGATCATTCCGCAGAATTCCTTTGTAGTGCTGCGCTGTGGTTTACCAAAAATCCAGGAGATGTAGACCTCCCTATATATAGAATTTACCTTGATAAGATTTATGACCATTAAGAAAGATTGTTACCGTGCGGCAATGCCGCTGTGAGTTGGATGGAAAACAAGACGCATAGTTGTAGAATGATAAACGATCATACCGCTCCCATCCACTGCCCTGATGGTGGAGGTATTTCACGTCACCCTGGGTCTCTCCCCAGAGATTACATCAGAGGCCGAGGAGCTCTGCGCCAAACCCGGTGAGGAGGCCCGGGTTCTAACTACTGAGCCGGAGGCCAGCCCATGTCCCGTGCAGGGATGCCTTGACCAGGTAAGACCATCACTTTGACATCACCACAAAAAGATTAATCTCTCAGACTACTACTTTTTTTAACTGGCCCAGTGGCTAAATTTACAGTGAAAACATCCCTGCACAGTCAGATCTTTCATATTTAATATTTACCCTGTAGGCGTCAGGGTATTTTTTGTTTACAGCTTTGATCTTTGCAAGTGACCTGCAGGAAGTGCGAGAGCACTAGATCAATATTTAAATATGTCGCACTGTAAAGCAAAAAATAACTTCCCTCTTTGTCTTTGTTTAATGCTCCACTGGAAAAAAAGTAATAGTGCATTAATAAACAAAAAAAAAAAAACATTTCAATTGAAAAAACACAGAAATCTCATCTTGGCAGAAGTAAACAGCACCTCGACATCTTTAGATGTTTGCACGTGTCTCCGTGTGACGGCTTCTGTTTTTTTAAGATATGCCATACCGACAAGTGTCGGTTTCCTAGAAAAGGATAAGGCAGAAATGCAGCTTGACGGCATTTCTTGTTTACAGCTTGATGTTGAGGTAGCTGCGAGTCCATGTTGGGGACATAAGGGATTGTTTATTAAGCACAAAGCATGCATTGTGTGCAGTATGAACATGCTTCCTCAATGCTGCTTTTTATACAGTGTACACCTTGCTTTGGGTATTTTACAGCTGAACAGAATATTCCTGACACTGTCCAGTAGTCATTGATCTGCTGTTCGGATGAAACCCAGTGCTTGCTAGTAATAACACAGGGATGTATATCTCAAGCAGGAGAGAGAGTCCAGGCCAGTCCGGCCCAAGTCGGCCATGTTGCCGGAGAAGGATTACAGCCTGACTGAGCTATTGAGCCAGGTGGATTCTGGGATTTCCAGAAGCTTCGACCGCATGAAAGAAGACTGCACCCAGTGCAAGGACAACACCAGCAAGAGGCTCTCTGGTATCTCCTCTGTGGACTCTGCGTTCTCTTCCCAAGGCTCCATCACCCTGTCCTTCGAGCGAGAGAACATGGCCAATGGTAAGAGCGGAGGCAGGCTGACCAACAGGCGGGGCAGGGCGAAGGCCTGGAGAGGTCATACTAAATGACCATGCGGTTATGTCTTGCTGCCCATAACTTATTTGTTTTTTGACATTAACTTTCAATGCACTTGAAACTTAAGATAATTCGATGTATCGGTGCACAATGAAGGAGTTTGATTGAAAGGTCAAAACTTCACAGCGGGCTTCCAGTAAAGTTTCTATTAATATCTAAAACTATTGGCATCATGTGCACAAGTGAGGGCTAAGCTAATGATTAATGAAATACAACAACATATCACTGAATGGAGTAAGTCAGGGTGTTTTTCTTTTTTTTTTGTTCTATGGTCTAGATTCAGGGACACTGGATGTGCAGAGAAAGAAGCTCTGTGAGGCGATCAGGATGGAGGACATCGGCAAGCTGATGAAGATCCTGCAGCCTCAGGATGTGGATCTGTTGCTCGAGGGGGGATTCAGCCTGCTGCACTATGCCGTCCAGCTGGCCAATGAGGAGGCCGTCAAATTCCTGCTCCTCAACAACGCCAACCCCAACCTGCCCAATGGCAAGGGCTCCACTGCACTACACCTGGCTGCCGAGAAGCGACTCAGGAACATGGCGGAGCTTCTGCTGCTGGGCCGCAAGACCAACGTCAATGCCAAGGATGAGGACCAGTACACACCGCTGCACTTCGCTGCCCAGAACGGTGACGAGGCCATCACCCGCCTGCTGCTGGACAAGAACGCCTCCATAAATGAGGTGGATTTCGAGGGCCGCACCCCCTCGCATATCGCCTGTCAGCACGGCCAGGAGAACGTGGTCCGTGTGCTGTTGAGTCGTGGCGCAGACGTACACCTGCCTGGGAAGGACAACTGGACACCCCTGCACTTTGCAGCCTGGCAAGGCCACCTGCCCATCGTCAAGCTACTGGTCAAGCAGGCCGGGGCCAACATCAACAGCCAGACGTCCGATGGCCGGACGGCACTGCACTTGGCCTCCCAGCGGGGGCAGTACCGGGTGGCACGCATCCTCATTGAGTTAGGGGCCGATGTGCACCTGCTGGCCGCCGGCTTGCGTACCGCACTGCATGTGGCCGCTGAGACAGGCCACACCAGCACCTCCCGCCTGCTAATAAAGCACCAGGCTGACATCCAGGCCCGGACTGCTCAGGGCTGCACTGCACTGCACCTGGCTGCCCAGCATGGCCACCTGCCCACTGTCAAGATGTTGGTGGAAGAGGGTGCCGATGTGGCCAGCGTGAAGCACGCTCAGCGCACCGCATGCCACCTGGCTGTGGAGGAAGGGCATGTTGATGTAGTCCGGGAGCTTCTGAAGAGCTGTTCGAAGAGCGCCAGCCTTGCTGACGAGCGGGGGCTTACCCCCATGCAGCTGGCCCTCCGTGGAGGGTACACAGACATTGTCCACATGCTCCTCTCATATGGGGCTGAGATGCCCCCACCTTCCCCGAGCACACTTTCCCAAGCTACCCCTCAATTCCCAGGTCAAGAGCCTGGCAACTGCGGCACGCTGCGGCAGAGGAAGATCGTGATCCTAAAACTCACCAAGCACGAGATGCCCGACCATGTGGAGCCGAGCTCCCTGCCCTGTGCCTCTACTTCCTGTTGAGATGCAAGAGATGATACTTAAGGATCTATAGACTGGGACACAAAGCTCTCCTTCCTGTGCCTGTTTGGCCGTTCAGGGAAGGTTCCGTAGAGACTTTCAAGACCTACAACCATTGTATATTTTGTAATTATTCAGTAAAGGAAGTTACTGTTTCTCAGGCAGGACACCAGAATTTCCTTTGGCTTTCTTCTCTCATAGGCATGTTTTCTCCATTCAATATTATTTGTATGTTGAAAAAGAACATTAAACATATTTATACTGTGTATATAATATGGGACCAAGTAATGGTTCTCACTTTATTATCCTTTATAATATAGCTTATTGTGAAGTACGTTTTTATACTCTGCAAAGAAATGTAGTTGTGCTACAATTGCGTTGCCCCCATGCTTTTTTTTAATGTGCTTTAAGCATGTAGGTTGTTTCTTTTCCCACAGATAATCCCACACATGTGCCACTGTCTTTCTGTGCACCCGCTGTCGAATCTTAACATTTCATTGTCAGAAAAGTATGTTTAGTTAGCTGATCAACAAATCTGTGCCAAGACAATGGGTGGTTCTCCCGACAGGACCTAGACAGTCACTGCGTCCATAGGTTTTTGGCCAAGTTTTATTTCTTCGAAATGAGAAGGGGATCAGTGTATCGTATTCTCATCATTATTTTCTGAAGTAGTCACCTATTCTTTGCCCTGGGAGTGCATTGGTACAGCTCTTGGCCCAAGAAAACCTGTATAATCTTGTGTTTTCTGGAGCTGCTGATGTCTCTTGTCAAAGTGGACGTGCTGAGCCTTGCAAGCCCCCCTCTGCTCGACCATGGGAACTGCCCCCGGGGGGGATCTCAGGATGGCAATGCTATGCCTCCCCCCATATAATTCTCCCCGACGCTCCGCCTTTCCATCCCTCTGATAACCACTGTGCTGTTCCCATTGCCTGCAGGGGAGAGACCTGAGAAATGCTGCGGTGTGTGTGGAGCGCCCTGTAATTGCCTGTGTTTTTTTTTTTATGGTCTTATGCATGGGCGGCCAGCTAATTGCCTGGTAAGGTCGGCGCCCTCGGGAGCCCTGGTTACAGCCCAAGGCAGACACTCACCACCTGTCACCAAGCGACCAACTGTCAAAGGGTCACATGATCTCATTCCAGAATCCTGATAAAACTGTAATAAGAAACCCTCATTCAATGGCTAGTCGACTATTTGTTTGTGTATTTGCCTGCATTGCGCAGCTGCTTTGTATATATAACGAAAGAGTAAAGTTTCTGCATTAAGTTCTAAGTCTGGTAGTGTTTCTTTGAGAAGTTATTGGTATGGCTAATATGGCCTTTTCTTTTGATGAATTGTGTAATCCCTTTTTACTATAAGGGAATCAATACCTTACACTTATTACTCATTAATCTTACTACACAAGTGCATGATAAATAGTCAACAACAGGAAATGAGGAAAATCCACAGTCCTGGTACAGTCTGGTGCGTCATTGTGCTGTGTACGAGGAACTTCTAGGCAAACGGCAGGAAGTCACAGAAGTGGTTCTCTTTTATATACAAAATTCATTCCAATGTTGCAACCAACGTGAGCAGTCGCTGGATATCCTCACACAAGTGTACCAATCCATGCCTTCTAGGGGGTCCTCCTCCTCCCCTGGAATGCACCAAGAGCGTCCCCTGTTCCTGTCCTTAGTAACAAATGAACCTCTGAGTCATTTTGGAATGTCATCATTGCACCCACCACAGATGTGACTTCTGGAACATTCCTGACCAGCTTGTTGGTTGGGTGTGATGGAGGTTGGGGGTTAGGCTGAGTTCTGGCAGCCCCTGGGTATGAGGGGTGCTGGGTGCCCTCGAGGGCTGTAGTCCTGCCATAAAGCTGGAGATCCTGAGTATGCATGACCTGGGGCTACAGGCTGGGTGTAAGCCTGGTTCCCTTCTTGTTGGGGGGTGGGGGGGGTTGTAAACAGTCTGGTGGAGCATTCATAGACCAGTGTAGGGCAGGTGACCATATGATCACAACTGAGACATGTAGAGTGGACCCTAGGAGGGTGAAGCCACAACGTAGCATCCTACAGAAAAACCCTTTATGGCAGAGCACTGGTGTGGCTTCAGCCTAGAGGCAGACCACTGGGGGTGTGGTTTTTTTGGCATGGCCAGTAGGGGCAACACACAAGCTTGCATATGGGGTGTGTTTGGGGTGATGGAACATCTGGTGGAGATTGAGGTATTTTGTTAAATAACTTCTGGAGCTGTTCAGCAGGTCCACCTAGATGTGCTACAGCTCTGGGTGGGACTACAGGGAATGGGTGTGCAGAGAATCCTTTGGCTCGCATAACAGCCTGATCCCTGCTAAGCTTGGAAAATAACAACTCAGGGACAATCATGCTGTTGGTATTCATGTTCCACATAACATATTTTATTCAGAATTCATTTTTAAAATATTTGTGCATTTTTGTATACAGCAAGAAACTCTAACCCTAACATTAATGTTTGATTATTGATGAATTATATACTCAAACAAGGATTTAAAATTAGGAGTTCAAGCCTCCATTTAGTAAAATGTCAGATGCTGATATCCTCCTGAGACCCAAGGAAAAAAGTGTCCTTCAATTTTAGGATATTTGTCTTTGGAGGAAATAACACATCTTGCAATTTAGATTTTTTTCTAATTTATTTTTATTTTTAATTTGACAGCATGTCCTCTTTAGTGTACAACAGGAATAAATATGTTTCCTTACATCAGTGAAAAAATAAATGCAAAAACAAAATGTCCACTACAATGGACATAAATGAATGGGTGGGGTCTCAGGAGGATATAGTTGAGAAGATAGGAAGGCTTTAATGTTCCACATAACATATTTTATTCAGAATTCATTTTTAAAATATTTGTGCATTTTTGTATACAGCAAGAAACTCTAACCCTAACATTAATGTTTGATTATTGATGAATTATATACTCAAACAAGGATTTAAAATTAGGAGTTCAAGCCTCCATTTAGTAAAATGTCAGATGCTGATATCCTCCTGAGACCCAAGGAAAAAAGTGTCCTTCAATTTTAGGATATTTGTCTTTGGAGGAAATAACACATCTTGCAATTTAGATTTTTTTCTAATTTATTTTTATTTTTAATTTGACAGCATGTCCTCTTTAGTGTACAACAGGAATAAATATGTTTCCTTACATCAGTGAAAAAATAAATGCAAAAACAAAATGTCCACTACAATGGACATAAATGAATGGGTGGGGTCTCAGGAGGATATAGTTGAGAAGATAGGAAGGCTTTAATGATGAATGTGACCTCAAACTTCCAGGGTTATGTGTCCAAATCTCACCGCTGTGGATTTTGCATGCAGGTTTCCTCCAAGTACTCCAGTTTATTCATACAGTCCAAAGAAATACAATTTTACTAAATGAGATTTCATGATGTTTGTATGTGTGCCCCAGCCTGCTGTCCTGGGCTGCCTGGTCTAGGCTCTAGGTCCCCCTGTAACCCCGACCAGGATAAGTGGTTAGAACTGAACGGAAAAGGCAAAATTCAGCAGCTAAGCTTTGTACATCTGATCATTTTTAAAGAGGGGTAGAATGAGGTGAAGTCATCGTACAGCAGCATCTAGCATCTCTTGGATCCTGCCTGTTAAATTGCTTAACTTGCTCCCACCCTGCCAGCCCATCATTGTGTGACAGCAGCCATCCGCCAGCTTCCTCGGAGCTCACGCTTTGTTCCAACATGTGATGCAAATGACTCACCTCGGCAGGATCATTAATGGCAGTGTTTCATCACAGACGCACATTACCCAGTGACACGCCACCCATTGATATGACTCCATGCACGCGACGGAGCAGCAAACTCACCCAATAAACAAGCCGGCAGCGGGGCACGCCAAACCCCTAGAAGACGCTTCAATGCAGCACGCCTAGCTAACTTGCCACAAGTGGTGTCAACCCAGCAATTACCAACGTCAAAAATGTCATATTAGAACTATGTAAATTTAGGTCCAGTCATATCCCACACAGAGGAAATTGGACTTTGTGTAACAAGTTAACATCAGAAAATGCTGCTGAAGTTAAGATAAATGACACTGACCAGAAAGAGCCCCAGAAAGAGCCCAGGTCACTCTAATTTGTTTTGTGACTCATTTCCAGAAGAAAACTGGCTCCAGAAGATCACAGATCCTCAACCTTTAAGGGGACTCTTGTTCAATGGTACCTGTTTCAGACTATCTCTGCATCAGTCTCCATAATGTCTGTTAGATCACAATCACTACTCTTCACAATCACTACTCCTCACAGTAATGCAATGGGTATGTTATGACTATCTAAAGATCTATTCTTCCATTAATAAGACAATAAGTATTCAATCTGAGTCACTTTTGGAAGGACTTAGTGCCATTAATTTTAATTACTATTTTACTATTTTAATTACTTAATTCTCTGCACAAATAAGGGAATTATATATATCATATAAAAAGAATGAACAATGTTTTAAGGGTGCAGGTACTGGGAATTAATAATATGTTATCATTATCCATATTTGTTTACGATTATTTTTCATGCAAAAAACATTATACTTTGTTATTTTACTCATAATATTCTGAGGAAATATACTGGGATATAAAAAAACATGTTTGATCAGCATTCCAAAGCAATTAAATATATTCGGGCAAAAAAATGACAAAAAAAGATGACAAAAAAAATCACTAAATGTAATCGATTTTAATCCACCTTTGTCCATATTGCTAAAATGTGTTCTCCAGTAAAATCTGTTTGCAGGCAATCTGCAGTGCGGTTTAAATCCCACTCGGCCATGGAAGAACCTTTTCAAGCCTTGAAGAACCAGTTGGGTCAGATGGGAGACTGTTTGTGAAGATCTCGACATGCCGTTACCTGCAGAGATCGCCCTGCAGTCACTGAGTTGATGCGTTGGTGCTGCTCTGACTTTCCGGATTTATGACTTTGTATATAAATAAAAAAAGTCTAATGCTGGCCTCGTGGAAGGTTACTGGTTAACAGAGTCTACAAACAGAAAGTATATAGAGCAGCCCTTTTTTAATGCGATAACTTCTGTAGTCTGTTTGTGCAACATACCACTCCATGTGGGGGGGGGGGTGGCTTTGTCTGTCATAGAGAAGTGGGATTACCTCAAATTGTTGTACTGTTATAAGTATATCATATAATGGAATCAAATATCACAAAACAGCAGTGCATAGGAAAGAGCTTTAAAAGGTATTTCTGAAATGTACTATAATTTATTTATATTATCAGGTGTCTAACAGAATAACAGATCACATGTCCTCAAAGGAACTGAAAGAAAGCACATGTACCCTGTTCCTACAACCAAGTCCAGGGTGAGTGGCCAGAAGATGGATCAGTATCTTTTTCAATATGTATCACCATACATTGTATACATTTACTTAGTTAACAGATGCTTTTCTCTGAAGTGATGTGCAATTGAGAAAGCAGGGTCAGCCAGTCCCTGGAACGACGGGGGGTTAAGGGCCTTGCTCAAAGGCCCAGTGGTGACATCACTCAGCTGACCCTGGGATTTAAACCAGAGGTTTTCCACTCAATGGCATAGGGTCCTAACCACGAGCTACAGACCACCCCACTCTAGACACAATTGAAAGTCATACACTATCACCTCTGACCCAAAACAAGTAATTGTATTTCAGAACCATTCAAGAAAAGACATGTTTCCTTTTGCAGGAACTTGTTATATGAAGTTCAAGTTTTCAAGCAGCTTTTTTTCACATGACCGCCCCCCCTCACATTTAGTTTTAAAATTCGCTATGTGTTTTACGCCATCTGCTGGAACTTTGAAGCCATTACATTCTATGGACCAAGAAAATGGTGGCTTTCATTCCTGCCTTCATCACAAGCCACAAGAGAAGGAATATCATTAATTAGCAGTGTTTGTGCTGTGATATTGCCACGGTGTATACAAATTTAACAACCTTTTACAATTAACGACGTCAGCGCAGAGAAAATAAGGGAAATAATACCCCTCCCCCCTTGTAGCATATTTCACTGTCCTGGCGCTAGATGGCATTACAAAGCTTCGTCATGGTGAATATCCGCTCAGATCCAAGGTTAAAGTAACACGTTGGAAATTGTGCATGTGATCAAGTTATAAAGAATTTAACTTAAGTTACTCTGATTGACGTTTTTAATTATTAGCAGTTAATGAAAATTAAGCTCTTTTTGTGAAGGTTCTCCTCATTTCCCTAACATATCACATTCATTAGCTCTGTGATGCAGACATTCCATTCAGAGTGTACCCACCTTGTGCTCTGTGCCATACTCCCCTTGCCACCCTCTCCAGGTTAAGTTGTGGAAACATGGGTGGATTATAATCATTAATAGTCAGCACATCTATGTCCGCCTTAATGACCAAGTAGAGTAGGGCCAGATCCATGCATAGGCAAACTAGGCAGCTCAATTACACAAGATTATAAATTTAAATTGCTTAAATGGGGTGGTGGGCAATAATATATATATATATATATATATATATATATATATATATATATATATATATATATATATATATATAAAACTACATACTTGGAATTTAAATGTTTATGTGTAGACAGAAACATGGCTAGGTCTAGCTATAGGCAGAATACACAGTTACCTAGGGCCCTGAATTACCTGCGTTGTGAAGGAAATGAAATGATCATCTAGTTTCTATGCAGTGGGGGACCAAAGTTCTATCTTTTCAGAGCCCCTGAAAAGATAGAACCAGGCCTGAATGAGGGTAAAATAAAAATCTGAATCTTTTTCCTATAACAATGTACATGTAATCTTGACATGCTGAAACAGTAAAATTACTTAGAACTTCTTTATTAAGATTGCTTTATGTTTATATTTATTGCAGTAATTTAAAAGTAATACTGCAATAAACGATTATAGTCCACCATTGTAAAATGATTGTTATTTCTAATTATTTGAAGAAATTCAAAATAAAATGCAGAAGAAAGATTAAATATGTTATCTGATGCAATGAAATGAATGCAAAATGAAATTCCATTCTTTTATACCAGCTATATATAGGAGTACAGGTCCAGGTTACATCAGAGTGCTATAAAATATGCGTATGAGCCAAGCTGAACCAAGCTACAAGGAGCTAATCTGTTTTTTTTCTGACTGTGGTTCCCTGAAGAGAAACCTGCTCCCACTGGAAGAAAGGGGCCAACCGAGAGCCTGCCACCTAAGAAATAAACAGCTTTCTAATCTACACAAACAGCAAGAGCACTAAGATGGTGGAATCAGTTTGCACACCGAACAGACCTGGGTAGTCTACCTTAAAGACCATATTGCTTTCTTCATATTTTACTTTTATTCTATTCGTTTTTTTTTTTTTTTTGAACATCTGTCTTGAGTTTATGCATAATCGTATGCTTAATTGTACACTTCGTGTTACCACTTGCACCAAGACATATTCCTTGTACTTTTTGGCCTATATTCTGAAGCTAACCAATGCTTGTATATTAAGCGAATCCACCAAAATACCAAATACTAGTCACAATGAATGAGTTCATGGAATTATTTTTGTAATACATATGTATACATTAGTCATGGAAGGACAACGACAATGAGAAAAAAGAAAGAATGGAACTGAAACAGTCTGCCTCTAATTTAAGGAACCATTAGCAGGAGTCATTTGTAAGAGTTCAATCCGTAAATTATTAATCTCAATTGTTTGAGAATTCCCTCTTTTCAAAAACAAAACAGCTGCTGATTGGAAATCCCCACGTGATGCGGCGACTGCATCATCAAGGAAACTCCCGTATACGACTGTAAATGAAAATTATTTTAAAGCTTTTGTTTCCCGGATGATCTCGTTTTCATATAATGGCTATCAATTAAATCCAGCGATTCTTATTTCATATTTACACTATACACGGTTGGTCAGCAATTAAACGAATAACGAAGTTTTCCTAAATTACTCGTAAGCTTTTAGAGTATGAACCATGCTACAGCGTTCACTTAAAATATAGCGTATGAATAAAATGTATGTGAACATCTTATATTTACTAATTAACCTATAGATATTACAGAATAGCTTTTACCTACTTTATAAAAAATATAGCTGTTCTGTACTCCCATAACTTCCGTTGTGTGGTCCCGTTACACGTGAAACCCGCACTTATCAGTACTTCTAGGAGTGATAAGTAAACATTACATGTCGTGTATTTTACAGCACTGTTTTTCTTTGTTGTCAGGGAGGGAAACGTGCGTAAGGGGATCAAGCCGTTCAAAACAATTCACAGAAGTTAATTTCCTTCGCCCCCTACTCGACGGCGTCTTTTTGGTTCGGCCCACCCCCTCCTGTAAACAGTAGTTGGCGCGTTGCGTTAGCTTAGCTCAGCAACGACGGTCCTTCTGCTCGCGGCTAAAGCTCGCGAGCTGGGACTACCCATAACGGCAGACTTCAAGCTCTGTGGTCGCTAAATTAGGTTGCCCTCGCCTTATAGAAGGTAAATTAGTTATTTTACATTTTTTGTCCGTTTTATAACCACATATTGGGGCTTCCTGCCTGACTCGCTGCGGTTCGGCCACTCGGTCCAGGTAAAGCTATTTTGAGAAGTCATTTAATAACTCTTATAACAAATCCTGTCAGCCGGATAGCAAATATGTATTCCGAATTTGGGTCGCAGCTATCTTGACTGAAAAAGAACCAAAAAAAGCAAAGTTAAAACATATGCGCTGGATTATTTGTGATGAAAAACTTCGTGTTGTGTCCTGCGAGCTAACTGGTTCGTTTGACTCGGTGATGCTGTTGAGACGAACTATTTTGGGAATTTACTGTTGTATGTTCGGTAAGCTGATTATCTTTTACAAATATTGTAGCAATGTGTAGCTAATTTTATTGGGTTAATTGTTTATTAAGATTAGTATTGGCTTCTCGTTATTAACAGCTACTGAGAAACATCCACAGATGGAAGAAGTTGGAAAACCAGCGAAGTACGTTGTTTCCCGGATGAGTAACTTAAGATAAAATTAGAAATGCAGATGTACTGCAGGAATAGTCTCCTTTGCTGTTCTTGGTCTTGGTGGTGTTCATTTTTACGAGACGTTTGGGAGCACCTTCACCACTGCTTTTTATGTCCGACCTCGGCGGTGTAAAGGTATCAGAATATCCGATTACGCTTTGTTGTAAAACGTGAGAAAATAGCAGTGATGTTTGGCAGGCATACTTTAATTTACTGGGGTACGAGTAGTCAGCAGTAGTCATCGCTGGGATAATATGGTCTGGTTATTGTTTATTAAGCCGGCCCCATTTGAGAGTTGAGCTTCAGCAGGTCCGTTTTGTGGAGGCTATACACACACAAAGGAGGACATGATGGTATTAGAGCATGTGGGATTGTAGGATGCTTAACTAAAACCTATGAATTAAGGGTTCCCCTCCACATACAGACTAATCGTTTGCTGCATCTGGTTGCTTGACTATATATCAGGTAGACAAAGTGCATAGCCTGAATTGTGCCAGTAAAATGTCTAACTGTACAACAGTACAAATGAGTAAAACCAAAAACATATCACACCGAATATCAGTATGAAGCAGTGCTTATTTGTGTCTCAGCCAACATAAATGAAAATGTACATTGATGGAAGAGGTTTTTTTTTTTTGTTTGGGGGGGGGGTTACAGTGATTTTGTTTTTCTTTTAAAGAGATGTCACTTGTCTACCATAATCCACAGTAAAAATCTTTTATAGTAGTTGTGGTGTCTCCCCTCTGCATTTAAGAGAAGAGCAGATGCACTTCACTCCATAATCAGTCTAGACCCTCAAGCATACAGCTAGTACTAGTGGCAAAGGATTTTCCTTCCTGACTGGTGTTATTCTTTCCAATATCTGCTGTATAAGCACATGAATTTCATAACTGTCTGCAGGAGTAATGTACAATTTTTGTGGTCTTATACAGGCTTAGTAATTCAGTCTTTCATTGTCAAACTACTGTAGTAAAGGATTGGTTTTTGACCTTGTGATTTACACAATTCAAGGTGAACGCAATGAACTACAAATATAGTGAATTATGTGCCCTATATTGTATTCTGTTTGGTATTTACCATATCTGATGTACAGCTAAATAATGACATTATTTTTAAGAAACCACATATTGATTATGATTTACCCATGAGGGCTGTTCATGGGACAATTTGCTACTGGTATATTTCATTTATTTTTTTGGTGTATTTATATGAACCAGAGACTGGGCAACTTAAATTTGGTGCAGGTTATCCTTACTGTGTAATCTGTTTCTTCACGCATTAATATTCTTCAACTTGTTTTTCTCAGTTTCCAGACATACACCATGAATGAAGGGGAGCAGTTTGTGAACATTGACCTGAACGATGACCTTATCTGCAGCGTCTGCAAGCTGGAGACGGACACAGGGACACTGTCCTTCTGCCACATTTGTTTTGAGTTGAGCATTGAAGGTAAGAGTAAGATGGAGGGAATGACATGATGATGCAATTAAAAACTTCTCCCAGCACACAGTCAGAAACGTTGTGTCCACATGGTTTCCTGTGGAATTTTCTAAACGTCTTAACTGTTTTTCTCATTTGCAAACAACCCCTGAGCATAGTCATTTAGTGCTTTTAAGACTAATTCAAGGTATATTCATGGCATAGTTTGCTCTGGTTTGGTTTTTGGTACTCTGGTGCTCATTTTCTAAGTCATGCACAGGTAATGCAGTTAACTTGGCTTATTCGAGGAGTTTCTTTGATTTTCTTGTCTTTTAGTCTAAACAGGCAGTGAACATGTTTCATCTTGTGGATTCTGACAGGGCTTAGTACTTTTTTTCTTCCCTGTTTCCTCATGAAGGAGCCCGCAAAGTAATGAGGCAGTGTGTTGATGAGTACCTTCTTGTCACGAGCTTGTGTCTTGCTTCCTGTCTGGTCCGTCTGCCTCATCATTCTGCTCTCTATGGCTCTGCCCGGCCTCACCGTTTTGCCAGTGACTTCCACACAGTCTCAGAAGTCAGTTTATAAAAAATGCAGATGGGGCCCAGCTAATCTAACTGTCGTATCTTCTGAAACATGGGGAGTGAAGGTTTCTCTTCACCCGTGACTGGGTTACTGGCGTTTCGGTAGGTGTCGTTTTGTGCTAGTGTGATTTCCGGTGGTGCATTTCCGGGTGCACTCTGAGTGTGTGGTTTGCTGTAAATTCACATGCAGTTATCAAGTTATGAAGGTCTATAGGGTAGCTCATACTGGGCCGCTTTGGTTAAGGTTTTCACCCCAGTGTCCATTTAAGTCATTTGGCACTTTTCCAAGTTCAGGAACCTGGTTGCTGGGCCATCTCAAGTGGGTCCTTTTGTAGTTCCTGGCCACTTTTACGTGTCGCTTTCCCACTGCACAACAGGAACTGTGACCTTTATGCTAAATAAGCATGGGAGACTCAAAAAGCTCATAAGTTGAAAAATCACACGGATTTGGTCTGAAAGTTCAGGAGAAATTGCATTTTATTTATATTTTATTTATACGGCCCACAACATATTTATAATTTATAATCTTAATAAAAATAATTTTTCTGCTAATAAGGTCTGACAAGTTTCACTGCCCGTACTAGTGATTTTAGTAGAGTTTAGGTAGAAATATGGAGATGAATGCAAAAAAGATAATGCATTTAATGAAACTGTGAGAGAAGAATAATTCCTTATGCTAATTTTTTTGCGCCACTGCTTCCATCTTTCTCCCCGCACTTCCACATAACTTCCAAGTTAGCGCCGGCATTTGTGGTCAACCAGTCAGCCCCACCCAGTAGTTCTTGGTCAAGCAAAAAGTGCCTACTCCAGAGTAAGGACTAAAAATAGCTTTAAGAACTACCTCAGAGCAACTACAACAGGTTCCTGTGGTGGGAACGTGACAGAAGTTCCTGGTTCTTAAATGTTTTTGGTTCCTCAAAAAGGTTCCAGTGGTGGCAAAGTGCCTATATAAACAGGAGGGGAGGTGCCAGTGGAGTTCTGTGGCCCACAGTAGAGGGCATTTTATGTTTGTTAATCTTAATTTGTGTTATACATTTTGGTAACTTCTTTTAAACACACATTTCACTTTGGCAGGGTGGGGCTGAGGGATTCTTTGATCCAAAAGACCCAACGGTCAACCATGCTTGACGTACCATGACAGGGGCAAGTGGGATTTTTTTTAGGAAGAAGAACTTAAATAGCAGACGTGCTGCAGATTGCTTTTCAAGTGTATGTTGCTGTATAAAAACGTGACGCATGGCAGCTTTTAAAATAGCCCGTGTATAACATAGGGCTTCTGGTGCTTTGAGTGCAGGCAGTCCCTGGGTTAAGAACCTCTGACATACGGACAACTCATACTTGCGAATGGGCTGCCAAAAAACCCATTATATTTACAAAAATTAAACACAATCACTCATAATGAATACATGCACTGCTCGTGAAAACATTGCTTGGTTCAGCAGTGTGTCAACTCGTGGTACAGTACTGTGTGTAGTTTTATTATTAATTTTGATCAACACTTATTATTATTATTATTATTATTATTATTATTATTCAGACTTATCTACAAATTTGACTTAAAGATGGGAGCTGATCTCAGTCGTCACCTGGAGACTTCCTGTACACACAGCCAGGTTAGATCAGGACTAGGGATGCTCATTTCGATTAATTTTCCCAACCGACAACCGCCGTTCGTTATCCGAACATTAACCGTTAACTGATTAGATTAGAATATTAAATTCCTCTGGGGTCGGCGGTCCCGCCGGCGGGATCTGACAGAAATTTCGCCAAACCATTTAAA